GCCGTGGGCTGTTGTGGAAGCAGTCACAGTGACAGATGTGTCTCTGTTGCCTTGGAGCTTGCTTTCTAGTGGGAGTATGTGTGTGTGTGTGTGTGTGTGTGTAATAACACAACAGAGAAACAAGCCAGAGAGTATCAGGGAGTGATGGCAAGCAATACCGGGGAGGGCAGGTGGCTTCATTTTTTTCACTTTTATTGAAGTGTAAATGCCCAAATTACAAGTGCACAGCTTAATTCATTCCCACAAAGTAAGTGCACCATGAAACTGGCACCCTGATGGAGGAACTGAGCAGCAACAGAAACCCAGAAGTTCCTGGGGACACCTTAGGTGAGGGACAGGGAAGTTGTCACGGAGGCAGCAACTTCAAAATGGGACCTTGAGGATAAGAAAGAGCGGAGCATGTGATGACCTGAGGGAGAGCATTTGGGGCTGAGAGGGGCCAGTGCTGGGAACGAAGTCAGTGGCTCTGGGAACAGAAAGGAGGCAACCATGAGTCTTCGAGGACAGTGGTGACTATCGTGTCGTGTGTGGAGCCTGCTCATAGGCTCCTGAATAAAATGCATGCGTGTGGGTGAGTGGCAGAGGGCTGGCAGTGGGGCTTGACGAGGCACTTCTTTTCCTGCTCTCTGCAGGGCTGTGGACACAGTAGGTGCTCATTTATATGCTGGGTGGTGAGGTGGGAGGGTGAGTGGGTGGATGGAAGGATGGGTGGTGGCAGGGCCGGTGAATGAATAGATGGAAGGATGGTGAAGATATGAGTGGATCAACAGATGGCGAGTGGCTGGTTGGACGGGCAGTTAGAGGATGGGGTGGTCGGATGGATGGTGAAATGTCTTGGTGTCTTTCCTGCTCACTGCCTGTCATGCTTTGTTTTCAGCTTCGGGCAGCAGAGGTGGAGATCAAAGATCTGCAGTCGGAGTTCGAGCTAGAGAAGATCGATTACTTGGCCACCATCCGTCGGCAGGAACGTGACTTTATGCTCTTCCAGCAGCTCCTGGAGCAGGTGCAGCCCCTGATTCGCCGCGACTGTAACTACAGCAACCTGGAGAAGATCAGGCGCGAGGCCTGCTGGGACGAGGACAATGGCTTCTGGAAGATCCCCGAGCCCATCATCATAAAAACCAGCCTCCCAGTAGGTCAGGAGCCTGGCTGTCCCCTCGGCCCTCCCTGCCTTCCTCCACAGTTTGCTATCCTGCAGATTGACGGGGAGCCCTGGGCCTCTCCCCGATGGCCGTAGGCACAGCAGACGCGTGACCCCCAGATTCCAAAAACATCAGGGACCTGAGACAATGGTGTGTCCTGGAGTCAGACAGATGTGGGTTGGATTTCTGGCTCCACCACTCCCTGTGTGACCTCTCTGGGACTCAGTGTCCTCATCTGTGAAATGGGGATTGATAACAGCACCTTCCTTTAAGATTGCTGTCTGGCTTAAAGTGTGTTAATACATGTGACACCCTTAGAGCCATGGCTGGCACATCTTAAGTGCCTGGTATATTTTATCATTGTCATAATCATCATTGTCATCATTTTAGCCTGCAGCCACCCTGGGAAGGACAAGGATCATTATGCCTGTTTTATATATGAGGAAATGAAATCTCGGAGCATATAGATGACTTATCTGTAGTCACAATCATAGCACTGAGGTGTATGACCAGAGATAGGAACAAGCTGTCCAGTTTCAGGCCTGGTTCAACTTCTGCTTTTGCCACTGACCCTCCTGTGTGACCTTATGATGGTCGCTGTCCCTTTCTGGGATTTGGGCTCCTGATCTTCACAAAGAAGGGGTTGGACAAGATGATCTTGAAGGCTCCTCCACCTCCATCGATTCTAGAGTAAGGTCAGACTTACAATGGCGCTTTTTGCAGCCTCTTATAGCTGTCTCTGCCCATTCGGGGAGCAGCAGACTCTTACATCCCACCAGGCCCCCATCAGTTCTCCCTCTGGTAAGAGTATTTGTCCAGGTCCTCCGTCTCTGATGTTTATGGATGGCCACTGACACCATCCCTGCTGAAACTCCAGCCAGCTCCATTTCCCACGAACACGACGGCCGCCTTCCTCCCTGCCCCCGCCAACCTGCTATCTTGCCTGGATGCAGGGGGATGGCTTCTTTGGCATCTGTGCCCTCCTGACGTCTGTTTCTCAAGGCCCTCCCTCTGCTTGTGCTGGGAAGTGTCCTCCCCTGGCTCCAGGCCTGACACTACCCCCTCCACTGGGGAGGGTGCTGCAGGCCACCCTGTCCCTCTGGCCCTCCTACCAGGCAGCAATGACTTCAACTTTTGTTTTCTCATAGCAGTTTCAACAGGGCCACAGAACAAATCGGTCCGCAAAACCTCTGCAGCAGACAATGGCGAACCAGGCATGGTAAGGCTTCCGGGAGAGGGTGTGAGGAGGGGGTGTGGCCGGGCTTGGCCCACTGCGCGCAGTGGATCAGCATTACCATAGGGAACTGGACTTCTACTTTCATCTGCCCTAAGGATTAAAGCAGGGGGCTGACCCCAGATCCTTTCTGTGTAACTCTTTTGGCACCTAGACCCTCAACCTCTCTGGCCCTCCTCATTCAAAGCCACTTGTCATAAAGACCGAGGGAAAGTCAGTGGTTCAAGTCAGCCCATCCTACCGGTGAAAGACAAGCTTCAGCTTCAGTCTCAGAGGCCAGGCAGCACATTCTGGTTCCCTGGGCCTCTGCTGCTGCCCTTGGACCAAAAGGGTCCCCAAAGCATCCATAAATAGTAATTGGGACTCTAAAGTCACTTGATTTTCGTATCTGCTATATTTTGAATTATAATAGGACTATATATCATTTAAAGCAGAGGTCAGCAACCTTTTCTGTAAAGGACCAGATGGTAAATATTTTAGGCCTTGTGGGTTATATCATCTGTCACAACTACTCAGCTCTATCATTGTAGCACAAAACAGCCATGTCCAATATGTAAATGAATGAGTATGGCTACATTCCAATAAAAGGTTACGAAAGTAGTCTGTGGGTCAGATTTGGCCCATAGGCTGTTGTTTGTTCATCTCTGCCTTAAACCATTACAGATGTTTCAGAAAACCTGCACAGAACATGCCTTTGTAGTCATGATAAGGCCACTCATAGCTTAATGAATTCCAGCCAAGCATCTCTGGCTGAGCAACTCGGGGTGGCTGCAAGGAATGTCTCAAGCCGGTCTAAAGTTCTGATTGGCTGCTTCTGATAGCTTAACTTTGTAAAAAAGGGAAACTTGTTCCTGAAAAAAAATTCTTAACCTAGGACCACAAAGGAGTTGTATTAGAATGCTTTTAGTTCCAAGTGATAGCTATCCAAAGCAAACAAATCATAAGCAAAATGGGGAATTTATTGGTTCATATTAAGTGGACCTGTTTCAGGCATAGCTGGATCTAGGGGCTCAAAGAGTCAGAGTTCTGTGTGTTTCTCACCTCTTGGTTCTGCTTCCCTTGGTGTGCTGGCTTCGGACTCAGGCTGGCTTTCTCCACGTGGCAGGAAAGAGGGCTGCTGGCAATTAGTGATCTGACAGGAAGAGACCCAGTCTCTTAGAGCATCCTTAAACCAATGCTTGCGGGAAAGGTTCTGATCAACTCTGTCTAGGTCATGGGCCTCCTCTTGGACCAATGACTATGTCTGGGCATAGTGCTGATTGGTCCAGTCTGGGTCATATGTAGCAAGGGTGCGGGTGGGTGAGAGTGGTGGTCTTAGGACATTATGAATGATCATCTCGCCAGGATGATGTCAAGTGGTAGAAGGGTAGTTCCCTGAAGGAAGAGATTCAGGGTGAAGAAAAGTCCATGATAGTGTTGAAAAATAATAGTTCTTGATGGAAGAAAGGTCGGGACTCCAGTTCTAATGATCATAAATGTGCCCGGGAGCTGAGTAATGTATTACCTAGTCTATGACTATGTCATAAGGGGTTTGGGTGTGTAGTATCGTTCTTGCTTCTATCAGGATACCCTGTTTTGAGCTTTACAGGAGGGAACAGGACACTTCCCATCCCAAGGAAGGAGGATGGGGGTGTGTAGACTTGGCTGGACTGAGATCCCCCTGCCCTGAGCAGCCCGGATCCCACCCCAGGAGTCTGGGTCTGTAGTAGCGTACACCAGAGTGGATGCTGGGGCTGAGGGTAGCCCGACCCCACCAGGCTTGCAGAGGCTACCTAGCCCCAGGTAAGGGCCCAGATAAGAATTGCATAAACAAGGGGTCTTGTCCCATGAGGATTTGAAATC